TTGGATTATATTTATTAGTATTTCTATTGGATAGTTATTTTTAGATAGTTATTATTTTATTGGATAATTATATATTAAATATTATTGATTTTTAGATTTGTGTTAACATCAACAATATCAGCAATGATAATAATGATATCAATGCTTGTATTAACAACAATAATGATATCAATACTCGTATTAATACCAGAAATACTAATAATACTCATGTTTAATTAAATTAATGACAACAATAATAAAATTAGTTATATTATATAACATGTAATTTATATAAATATATCATGTATCTTAGCTTAGAAAAAGTAATTAAGTTAATAACTCAAGAAGTTTTTTGTTTAATAGAAACTTCAAATAACTTGTAAAGTTATATTTGTATTAGTTTTTGGTCTTAAAAGATAGATCACTTATAATAAATCATTGTTATTGATTTGAAAGATAGTTGCTTGATAAAATTATTATTTGAATCATAACTTTTGAAGTTCTAAAATAATATACAAAACTTAGTGAAGTTATTGGATGTCATTCTATCTCATCACAACAAAAATACATATTACCTATCTTTAGTAATAAATCTTAGTCTCTCTTATTATAAAAACTTAATTTTTTTCACTTTTAAGTTAATAAAGCACATGATTAACATGTCAAAAACTTAATATCTATAAAAATAGTAATAATATTTTAGTTTATAATTAACTTGTAAAATATCTGGTTCAAAAAAAGATATATAAAAAAATATTTTTGCTTTCAAAATAAATAATTAATTAATTAATACAAAATTTAATTAGTTAATAAATTATTCCTTATTTATTGTTACATTAATTAATTAAATAATAACTTATTAAAATACTTATATTTATTGTGTATTATTGAACAACTACCAAGTTATTATAGAATATTAGTACTATATTATTATAGAATTATCTTACACTAAGTGAACATAATATTTATTAGTAATAGTGAAAGCTATCTAACAGATAAAAAAAATATACATGATCCTAAAATACATTAATTATGTTAAGATTGAGTAATTGTAAAATTACTGTTATTAGATATTGGTTAAATATTTATATTATAATATTATTCACTAGGAGTCTGATTATAACAGTATTTTTAATACTCTTAAGAATACTATTAAAACAAGAACTAATAGCAATAATTAACTTTCTAAATTAACAAATATTGCACTAACTATATAATATAAAATAAAAATAATTTGACTATAAAAACTATATAATAATATTAAAATATTTTTTTGATAAAGGTTATGTGTAATTTATTTATTTCTTGACTAATTTGATGAATTAATCAAATCAGAAATCATGAAACTAATAATTTTTTATATTATAACAATTATATAATATAAATAGTAATTTATTATAATGCAAATAACAGTTTTCTAAAATATATTATAACAATATTATTTATATATTTATTTAAATTAAAATTAAATTTGAATACTTTAAGTTTTTTATTCAATAAAAAAAAGTGCTTAAAATAAAAAATAAATTTATTTCTTAGAGTATTATTAAAATATTATTGTGATATGAATTTTAGCATATTACATGACTTTTCATAATTTATTTTAATTGAATAATTGATTTATAAATCATATTCATATTTATTTTATATTATCTGTATTTATTTCATACTGTTTTTATAATATTTCATTCTATTTTTATTATATTTCATACTATTATCATTTATTTCATACTATTTCATTTTATTTTAATACTATTTTATTCTATATTTATATTATTTCATTTTATTTTTATATTATCTTATTTTATATTATTTATAATTCATACTAATTATATTTAATTCATATTATTATTATTAGTATGAAAAACACGTGTTAATTAATTTATATAATCAAATTTAATTGATATTAATAGTGAAATTTATGTGACATTAGATTGAGTGATGTACAACTATCAAGTGAGTGAGTAATATACAACCATCAAGCGAGCAAGTGATGCACAATCATCAAGCGAGCAAATGATACACAATCATCAAGCAAGCGAACAATGCACAATCATCAAGCGAGCACTTTTAGTAATCTTAATATCAATCAAAAATAGCTTTAATATTTGAAGATCGAGTAATAATAATTTGTATAAATATAATATATATTTTAGCTTAGAAAAATAATCTTCTTATACTTTTGAATCTTTATATAGATTATAATCTTTTTAGATTTAATCTTCTTACCTTTTAAATTCCTTTGACAAAATCTTTTTAGAAGTGAATCGTATTATAAGTCTTGAGTTGGAGATTTTCAATCAAGTATTAATTATCTTTTTCTTTCTTATTTGTATTCTTTATTATTTAAAAGATCTCTTGTTTGTAATAAGTGATATCATTTATAATAACATAATTAATCTCTCATTACTACCCTGCAAAGTTGATTAACATTATTTAGATTTATAATAAAAGAAGAAGATAATTTTATTAAAAGTTGATTAATAAAAGAAGATTACTTAACAATTAAATCATTTGAATTAAAAAAAGATTTCTGAACTCATTTTAGCAGTTCAACAAAATGAACACGTCATTATTTATCTTTATTAAATTAGTCTCTCTCAATCTTAATTACTTTAAACACATAAAAATCTTTAATAACTCTCCCACTTAGTTAAGACACATGAAGAACACATAATCTATATCTAAAAAATAATAAACCAACAAAAATGGTAACAATATTCTAAAAAGATATTTGAAATAAGTCAAAAATTTGTTTATAATTTAATATTTGAAAATTATTAAATTTCACATTTATTAACATTTTAAATATTCTAAAAAGTTAAAAAAATGTCATTTTTACTGATATTTATTTATTAATTTTATTAGAGAGCTAAATAATAAAAAAATCAAGTATTAAAAAACTTAATTGAAAACTTAATGATTTTTTTATACTAAAATGCATAGTTCTTTTATAAATAATTCTTCTAATAAAATTAGCTATTACAGATATGATTACAAGCGTTGGTTAAAATATGATTACAAATAGTTAAAATATAATTACAATACTAATTTATAAAATATCTTATTCAATAGTATATAAAACATAATTGTACAATAAGAATTTGATATTTTGAAATAGTAAAATTTGACTTATAATAATATTCAGATATATTTCACAAAAATTTAAAAAAATATAGAAACAAAAAAGATAATATAAATCAGATATAATTATATTGACATAAGAACTTTAGAATATTTTAAATTTCACTTTAAGTTTGTAACAAATTCAGTTTATTTTCCTATCTTGTTAATGTATCATATAATCAAAGGAACGCTCTTGGATTATATATTCATAATATTATAAATATTGTTTTTTTCTGTATATTGAATTTTGTATAAATTATATAAATTAATAAAAAGTACTGCGCCTCTAAATTTCTATTAAATTGACAAATTATAAGTTAACCATTTCAACACGTCTATACTGCTGCAAACAGTATTATAAATTTTCCTTTACTCCTATTCTTGGAGAAACGAAAGAAGGTTTCGACACCGCCTATAACAAAGAATGGCGAAAAGGATAGTCCGTAAGGAGGAACCTTTTTTAACGCGATTCAAAGAGAATCCTGAAGACATATGGATGACAGCTACTGACAATATACAAACAATATGGAACGTAATGTACAGATATCTCGGTTGGATACTATGGCGGCTTTTTTACATTTTTATAGTGTTGCATAAAGCGTTGACGATTCAAAGTGTCGCCGACGACAAATATGAAATACCAAGTGTTTCTTGGAAGGAAATTGTGATATTGCTAGGTAGTCTTTATTTGACGTGGAACTGTTTTATGCATTACAAGGATTATCAGTTTTTCTCGCGACCGGATTTCAAAGGACCTCCGTCAGACACGCGCAATTTCCATTTGGCTGATCGTGTACCTGAAGGTCCGCCTGGATGGGCTGAAACAGGCGTTGGTCGACTAATGCAAGTACTTGAACTTCAATTATATACCGACAATTATATACATAAACATCTTTTTCTAATATCATATCTTTCATCTAGATATTCGATCTATGCTAAATTCTTTGCACAACCAGAAACATCCGATCAAATATGGGTCTTGCGCACATGGGAACCGAGGCGCTACTTCTTACGATGTTTTTGTTGGTTTTCGCCCGCGCAATTATTAATGTACCACATAATGACACCTGGAAAAGCGATATACTTGTCCGCTGCTATCCTCACCACCGCGTTTTTCCTTCGGAAACTCGTGGATATGTTTGATGCGATGGTGCAGGATAAACAAGTGATATATGGGCAAGTGCTCGCAGAATACAATGAGAATTTTGTTGCGCCGCGTGCATTTGTCCCGAAAATGTCTCATGAAGTTCAAACTCAAGGTGGATTTTGGGATACGTTGACTGAAATCAAATTGAATTCGAAAAAGTCGAAGTCACACCGACCTATTCATCAATCAGTTCCACGACATAATTCTAGTAGAGATTATTATCAACAACCAATGCCTCAATTTAATTCTTTTGGCGGGAATTTTCATCAACCACAACCAGTACAGAATAATTCTACTGAAAATCGTCACAGATCAAGTTATCAAAATTCGACCAGAAATAAAACTGCTGCTGCTTCCTCCTCCTCTTCTTCAACAAGAAATAATCAATCAATCAAGCAGCACAATACGCGTTCGAGTGCACGTAAAAACACAGAATCTACATTTAAATTACCATCGTCGTCATCATCATCAACGACAGCAACAAAAATTAAAGATGAAGCAACATTATCAACACCGATTGCATTTTCGAGTTCAATAACAACCTCCTCCAACATTACAGCGTCTCGTAGTTCACGAACTACACGCAATAGTAATAGTGATACTAATAATAGCAATGTCGCCATGGCATCGAAATCACAAATGTTCACCAGACCAACCATGCAAAAAGAAGCATATGAATGCCCCGCGGATAAACCCAGTCCTTACAAATCAAAGGACAATATATTTCAATATGGATATGGTCCAATATCCGACTATGTAGAAGATTGGCCACCAAAAAATACTACAAATACTTCACAACGACGGAAAAAAAGTTAATAAATATTTCTTTTTATTATTTTTCAATAAATAGAATTATAATTGCGCAGAAATAAATAAAAAAAAACTATGTATGTTCAATTAATACACGTATTTTTTATATATACCATGAATAAATCTTGTACTTCTGTAGATCAAGATATAATATCAGATTGTTTAGATAATTTCTAAATTTGTTACACTATGATGCAGACAGTATTATTTTGAAATCAATAAATTTTATTATCATTTTGTTTGTCATCTTATTTTAGGCTTTTACATATGGTTCAAGGACGAAATATTTAGTCTTTTAAGATTAGGTTTTGTTTGCATCTCTAACTGTGAAAATGCTGTCAACAACGGCTTCTCTAACCGTGACCTCTGTGGCGGCTCTCGCGTTAGTAATAATCTTCAATACAGTACACGACCCTCTACTAGCAGCACTTGGTTTCGCGTTACTAGGATGCATGATTACATTGCGTCTTATTCCCGCGCTAAAAGATAGTTTTAAAAAAGCTGGAAGGGTAGGAGTTGATGTTCTCAAGTTAGATAGACCGGAAATGTATGTAAGTTTTTTTTTACTCTTGCTTTATGCCTTTTTAATAAGCAAAATGAATTGACTTACAATCAAATTACAATTACAACTAATCTGATGAGTAGACCTGAAAGTATGGGTGTTGTCTGTGCGACTGTATATTTAGTATGCTTGTTTTTATTTATTCCGTTTCCGTTTATGGAATGGCTTACTGGCTCGGGAGGCATATTATCACGTAAAGAGGTTTTTCATATACCGACATTTCCACATGATAAGGTTTATTTATATTTTAATAATTTCCTTTAATTCGTGGTTATAAGCGATATGATTCATATAATTAACAAATAGATTTTTATTATAAAACGTATTTTTTCTTTAGCTAGGTGAATTTCTTTCCGCGATACTATCCCTACAATCAATGATATTTCTAGGATTCGCAGACGACGTGTTTGATATCAGGTGGCGATACAAATTACTATTGCCGACTATTGCCTCTATTCCCTTGTTGATGGTTTACTACGTAAATTTTGGTGTGACATATATCGTCGTGCCGATTCCGTTACGATTTTTATTTGGGCGCATAGTCGATTTGGGTAATTGAATAAATAATTCATTGTTTTTATTGATTAACAATAAATTAAATTTTTTTTATTGTTTTAGGAGTTTTTTATTATTTATATATGAGTATGATGGCGGTTTTTTGTACAAACTCTATAAACATATTAGCTGGGATAAATGGTGTCGAAGCGGGACAGTCTCTGGTGATTGGCATTTCTATAGCCATCAACGATTGGCTATTTTTGAATGGGGCTGATCCGGCGGTCGAAGCACATTTATTGTCATTATTTCTGATTTTACCGTTTATTGGTGTGACTATTGGATTATTGTTTTATAATTGGTAATTATTTTATTAGAATATTCTGTCTTTCTTCCATTTTGATTAAACCTGAATGATTGTATATAATATTTATATATAAAGGTACCCATCAAAAGTATTCGTCGGTGACACGTACTGTTACTTTGCTGGGATGACATTCGCGGTAGTTGGGATTCTCGGGCACTTTAGTAAAACAATGTTGCTGTTCTTTATTCCACAGATTTTCAATTTTTTGTATTCTGCGCCGCAATTATTCAAATTGATGGATTGTCCAAGGCATCGGATGCCAAAGTATGTAGAAAAGAAGTTGCTTTTTTATATCCAATGATCTGATGATTTACTTTTTTTTATCATGATAGGTTGAATGCAAAGACTCGAAAATTAGAATACAGTCGTGCCCGAATAAAAAGTTCTTCATTACTCAGTCTATTAATACTAAAAATATTCTCGGGCTTAAGGCTCGCAAAGATCACCAAAATAAAACGAAAAGAAAAAATCCAACAACAAGATTCAGAACTTACTTTTACTGAAACTGAGAAGTTTAATAACGAAGATGATGATGATACCGATAGTAATATGATAGAAGTAAATAATTTCACTCTAATAAACCTAATACTACTGAAATTCGGACCGATGCACGAACATACTCTTACAATTACTGTGATGATAATACAAATCCTTGGAAGTGCTCTCGCGTTTTTTGTGAGGTATCGGTTGGTGCACTTTTTCTACAAGGAAGATGGTAGTTAGTATTTTAGAAATTCTTTTGGATCAAGGGCTAACTCAATCGAAAAACTATAATATTTGTAAAATTAGATTTAAATTTATTAGAATTATTAATTTAATATACCTAAAAAATTATCAAGTTATAAATAATTTAGCATAATTGACATCTCGGATCTCATAAATTTTCCAAAATTATAAAACATGTGTATGTATCATTTGTCAAAACAAACATTAGGAACATGTGCATGTTTGTAACACAAAGCATGCTTATGCACCTTTACTCATAATTGATCACCTAGTTTGATATTATAATTATGTTATACAAGGGTAAAATAATAATAGGAATTAAAAATTTTTCCTCCTATATTATCATTATTTTTCAATTGGTTCGAAATGGTAGAAGAGGATGATAGTCACGTATATGTGTATCATTAATATCGATATGGTATTGTAATAAGAATTATAATTATATAAACTTTCTTATTGTTATCGTTCATAAATGAACAACAATCATTGACGTGATACGTTTCTTTTACCATTGTATTTAAAATTTTTATTTGACTAGCTACAAAAATGCATCATACAAATTTTATTGTGTGTGTGTTTATTCGATTGATTGTGTTCTCTTGGAAACGTGTCAAGAGGAAAATTTACAGGATTATCAAAAAAACTAAACTTACTAGCATTAAGAAACATCCGACATTCTTATTCTTATTCTATTCTATTCTACTCTTTGATAATTGTACGCACATATTTTTACTTTTAAATTAATGGATGAATGGTTTGGTTGGTTTGTTAAAACAAAGATTTTATATAACCAATTATTAGATATCCCCAACAGCTGATGATAACATGCTTATTTTCTATTATGTGGTGTGTGATCGGAGTCACATCCAATCGTTTTAATGGGCCGGAATTGCATTTTTTCGTCTTACAAACTATCCGAAAGATCAACCAACCAACCAACCAAATTCGATTCTCATCGACCCCCAAGTAATTAGTTGTTTTGTTTGGTCCCCTAGTTTTCAAAACTTTGTGAATGTGTCCCTTTTCAATTTTCTAGGTGGCCCTTCCTTCCCATTTCCTCTTCTATCTTATTTCTCTCTTTTTTCTTCCCTCTTTGACCAATCACCAAATCTATTCTCTATTCATTTTATAATACTTTCTCAAATCTACGAGGCAAAGACAATACTGTTTTCATTAGAACTAGTTTTGCAATTTTCATTCCTCATCTCTACAATTACTAAAAAAAAAACGATAGACCAGAACTTTATTCTGAATATAGACCATATTCTAAAACTTAGAAAATTAAAATGACAGACACCGCAGAAAGGATAGCTGCAGCGCGAAAAGAGGCAGAAACCTTAAAGGAAAAAATCAAGATGAAAAGAGATGCCTTGGCTGACACCTCACGTATGTACTAATATTATCTTGTACTCCATCATTAGAATTAGGATTAGCATTATTTCAACCGTTCAAATATACAAGCTTCCCTACTTTATGCTTCTATTAATTAAAGTATTATATATATGCTATCCATGCAGTACGATCAATGGCCAACGAGATCGATGCTCTACCTAGAATTGTAATGAAAGTTCGTCGTACCCTTAAAGGTCACTTGGCAAAAATCTATGCAATGCATTGGGCGTCTGATAAACGTCACCTTGTTTCTGCCTCACAAGACGGAAAGCTTATCGTGTGGGATGCACCTACAACCAACAAAGTGCACGCTATTCCACTTCGGTCGTCATGGGTGATGACGTGTGCTTACGCACCATCCGGTCATTTTGTCGCCTGTGGCGGTCTAGATAATATCTGTTCAATTTATAATCTTAAAACAAAGGAAGGTTCGGTTAAAGTTGCTCGAGAACTGAATGCGCATACCGGATATCTTTCTTGTTGTCGGTTCTTGAATGATAAACAAATTCTAACATCTTCTGGTGATATGACCTGTATGCTTTGGGATATTGATGCCGGAATGAAATTATCGGAGTTCAATGATCATACTGGTGATGTAATGAGGTCAGTAATAATTCTACTATGTCTTTTTATTCATCTTATAGACGTCAATAATTAATTATTTTTTCTGACAGTTTATCGGTTGCTCCGAATCAACAAATTTTCGTGTCTGGTGCTTGTGATGCAACAGCAAAAGTTTGGGATATTCGAAGTGGACGCTGTGTACAAACATTTACCGGGCATGAATCTGATATTAATGCAGTGCAGTAAGTTCTATTTATATTTATATTTATATATTAAAAAATGAATCTGATTATCTATTTATATTTATTACAAAAAAATAGATTCTTCCCTAACGGCGATGCATTTGGAACTGGATCCGATGATGCATCATGCCGGTTATTCGACCTTCGAGCTGATCGAGAACTGAATCATTACTCACATGATCACATTCTTTGTGGTATTACCTCGGTTGCTTTTTCCATCTCTGGACGTCTTCTTTTTGCAGGTTATGACGATTTCAATTGCTATGTCTGGGATACGCTAAAAGGGGAGCGTGTTGGTGTATTAGCTGCACATGAGAATCGTGTGAGTTGTTTGGGTGTTTCTAGTGATGGTATGGCTTTGTGTACGGGAAGTTGGGATTCTCTGTTGAGGGTAAGTAATTTTGTTCATCATCATATAATTTCAATAAGTTAATTTAAATTTTTTTATTTTTATTTTTTAGGTTTGGGCTTAATAATAATAATAAATAAATAATAATAATAATAAATATAATAATAATACAGAGCATAAAATACAACAAAAGAAGAAATACTTGTTTATGCTATTCAGCATACACGGTAAACCAATTTGGTTTTCATACACGAGACATCCATTCTCTACAATCAGGAGGACTGTATGTCTTGTTATGTTATGTTGTGAGTGTTATGCGAACGTAGTAAACGTAGTAGTCATTCGTCTTTTTTTATTTTATCAAATTTGGGTTTTAATTTATGCTTTACTTAATTTTTTGTTTTATTTTTTATTTCTCGTGACATACATATTATATGTACATTTTTTTTTGGATTTTTGTGTATCAATTATTCATTATTATTACACCACCCACCCACCACCCATCACCCATCATAAACTAATCGAATCAATTTGAAATCGAAATATTTAATTCCTATATTACTATTATCACTATCATCACTATTATTATTTTTTTTACTATTTTATTTATCTACCGAAAAAAGGAAAAAGGTTTGATTTTTGACTTCACAGTCTTTGTGTAATTTATTAAAAAAAGAACGAGAAAAGAGAATTATTTTGATTCCACCAGTCATCATCCTCAAAAATACATGAAGACGTCTTTTCACTATTATATATAATTCATTCTTTGAAATCTTTTAAATTTTGTCAAAATATCAATCAATCTTTTAGCATTAATAGTAGAAAGTGAACTATCTTTTATTCTACAGCATCAACGCAAAATTAATAATCATATCTGTCGTTTTTTTGTTTCTATATGAATTCACATACATAACTTTTTTATTTCTATTTTTTGTCTGTCTTTTCAAAAACACTAGAATTCTGATATATCAATATATATATACATATATACACACACCATCATCACCAATCGACGATTTATACATTTACATTTACACATTCATATATTATGTCTTTTCTGATGAAAAAACATCACACTAAAAAAAACAAAACTAAAACTGTATTATTCATTGATCTTTGGCATGTTTTTGAACCAATCTTTTGGGAACAGTCATAAGGCTACTTAATGAGCTTGGGCTCCGAAATAATTTATTTTTATATTAATTTATCCTAATTTGATGCATGGATAAATTTTCTTCTCTCCCATGAAACATTGAAGCGTCTTAATGCCAAATTGATAATCACGATAAAATTACATAGATCTTGCGAATTATTAAATATACATGTATATATATTACATTCCGGTATTCATTTTTTCTTTTTTGGTGGTTCATCGTTAAAAAATATGCATAATATCAAAGAGAATAAAATCCGCCTACTTATTTATACTGGAGAATTGAATTTCTGATTTATTTTTTTAGTCGAATGTTCGTGAACTTGACGCACTACTAGACACTCTGGAGAAAGTCACGCTGACAATGTCCTATATGGGAATGAAGGTTGGAGGTTTCGATATAAATAGAAAGCATTTCTCCAGAGGGTAAAGATACCCTTCGTTAGCTTTCATCGAACACTTGAAGGCTGAGTTTCCATGATGACTGCATCCATTAAGAACAGATTTTATTTGATCGCTTAATCACACACACAGGACAAACGGAAAGTCAATGTCGTAATGTACCTTCGACATGAGCCAGGTACAGTAACTGACAACCTCAAACAAAGGCTTATCTTCGTATTTCTCTTCTAATTTTTTATTGTAATTTTTCTTGATGGTCTCTCTATAGTGAAAAAATAAATTGGATTTATGAGTATTAAATTGTTGATGAAGAAACATCGAACAAAATCATCGAATTCATACTTGTCCATATTCAATTCCATATCAACTTTCATATCTTTAACCAACTGTAAGACCAGGAATGGGTATCGTGTTTGTCCTTGTCGAAGTGGCGGGTCAAGTCCTACCTAATATTTAATATATAACATTAATACAAGAAATCTCATTCAATCAATTAAATGAAATGATTACAAACCACAAACATGACGTGGACATCATTCAATTTTAGTACACAAATACGAAAAATAAATTTAGTCCTTAGACACAGACAAATAATTATATAATTACCGTGGTGTCAAAAGTAAAATATTATTTCTCCGCTGACTTGTCCAAGATCTGCTTTTTCTTTAACAGTTTCATGGAACATCTATCAAAATAATAGAAAATCATGAATAAGATCAATAATAATTAAAAAGAAAAAAGGAAACTTACAGAAGCAGCACTGACCTCTTCGGTAGCTCCTTCCTCTTCCTCCTCTTCTCCTTCTGCCTTTTCTGATATCTCCATTTTCTTTTATTTCCTCTTTACCCTTTTTCTTCTCTTCATAATCACCATCAACGTCACCATCACCGCCGGTAACTATCACCGTACCCAGGATATAAAACCTCATTTCTAATTTGTGCACCTCATCCATTTGTTCGGGTTGCATGAATTCCAAACTGACTTCGTTTCTGTTGGCAAGATTGGTGATTTAAAGGAAGTTCAAATGCTGTCTTATTACCCACATTAAAAAGTAGTTATGAACCTTTGGAGCAATTTTTTTTAGCTTTTAGCATTCACCATTTCATCAGCCTATAACTAGCTATTGGAATAATCCATATTCTTGAAAATAAGTTTTGTCCCAGTTCCAACCTTTAACACCGAGTTCTTTGATTTCAAGATTCAATTGATAATTTGATTTTATTAATTCTCCTAATGTGTCAAAATCCTAAGAAAACCAAACAACCCAAAAGGTCAGAAAGCCTCGCTCAGCAAAATTACGTTCTTATTCCAACAATCAAGTTTCGCAATTCCACAGAAGCTAAACCACTCACATCTTTGAGAAACCCATCAAATTTCAAAGCGTCGCTGTTTTTACGTTGGATTCTTAATTGATAATTACGAGCAACATGAATCCACTGCATTTTTTTAAAATCCTCGGTTGGAACAGTTAATATTGTGTCTTCTAACGTAGTTTTCCAACCTAAGCCTATAGGCGCGAGTTTCAATACTCAGGTTCTACGTTAAGTTCATAATAGATTTGAGCAAACTGAGGGGATTTTGTTTCTCCCATTGTTATACTAGAACAACTCGGCCTAATTTTTATTACAATGGGATCTATTATCGTTATCCCGTGTTTATTCTTAATCATCTTAAATACGATGTTGTAATAAGCAAGTTGTTTTAAAAAGAGATTCAGAACGTTCTATAAAGTGCACTATATACTATATATATTAGACTGAAGAGTATAATCGATTCACAACGAACATCCATTGTAGTCTATAACGATAATGATAATGATATAGATAACGAAGTTCAATACCTTCGATGTATAAAAATATTCGGATATCGGAAGGCATGATTTTATATGTAAAAAATTCGGTTTAGTATATTTTATGTTTTAAAAAATTTTAAAAATTTAACATTCTACGTTTTTGTGATCAAGTGTAACGGTAATAATTTCCTTTCACGTGAAATTTTTATACCTATTATTACATCCAATGGGAACTTGTCATATGAGCGAGGCTTATTTTTGATAAAGTCGGCATAGCGGAGAAAATAGATCGACACATTATAAATAAATCGAAATGTTTCGTGTTATTAATTATATTAATTATCTATACGTATCGACATTTATATCCGCTTGTAACTTGAAATATAGTTTTTAGGGCTTCAAAATATACTTTGGGACAAGTGTATTTAAAAAGACAAGGAAAGAAAGAAAGAAATCACACAAATAAAATCATGGGCGAAAAAGTATGCGCCCTACTAGATAGATTCGCGATACTCATACAAATACTGTTGGGCACGATTGCGTTCTCGACATTAATTTATAAACGACATCGCGAACGCCCACAGAGACCTGTTAAAATTTGGTATGGGATTTTGCTTTTTTTTTTGGTGGTGTATGTGCCGCTTTTAAGAGTTGAAGCAAGAAAAATGTGGAATTTTGGGCAATTGTAAATTAATTGCTCATTTTTTATAATACAGGTTGTTCGATGTGAGCAAACAGGTCATTGGAGCATGTATGATGCACGGACTAAACTTGTTCGCTTCTCTTATAGCAGGAGAAAATGAACAAGAAATCACGAATCCATGTGTTTGGTTTGTATTTTTGATTATTCCTTTTTAATCTCAATAATTGATACTAAATATATTATACCTATTATCAGGTATTTTCTTAATATATTCCTGGATTGTACATTAGGTGTTTTTATTTTATTCACACTTCTCAAATTATTGCATAAGGGTGCGAGTTCACTCGGGGTACAAGGTAATAATATAGTTACTTTGAATTTTTCGTAAAAAGAAAAGGATTGAGCTTTAATTTCAAACGATAAATTAATAAGGAGTACGGAGTGGTGACTACGGCATGCCACCAAGAGTCACGTGGTGGCTTAAACAACTTTCGCTATTCATCATCGGCCTATTCACCATGAAAACAATCGTCGTGTTACTCATTCACATTGCACCATTCCTATTCAAACTCGGCGAATGGTCAATACACTGGACCGAATCAGACCCAAAACTACAAATCGTATTCGTCATGTTAATTTTCCCACTCATCATGAACATTGTACAGTTCTGGTTGGTGGATCAAGTAATCAAGAAACGATTCGAGCATATAAAATTGGATAATCCAAGTGACGCGTTCGCGGGTGAAGATGATGTGTTTTTACATCGAGAATATAGTCTGGATGGGGATTCGCCGTTGTCCCCGCATCACCGATATAATACTAGTGATCCACCAACGTTCACCACCTCATCACACCAGCAACATAAACGCACTAGTAATAATAATAATAATTCTTCTAATTTGCCGATGACGCTGTTGAGTAGGGCTTCGTTAAACGATGACGATAAAGAGAATAATAATGTTAGTATTCAACAACATTCAAATGACGATTCTACGTTTATTGAGTTTAAAAAGAAACCGGATCCAAAAAGAGATTTATAAGATTATTGATTAGTTAATTAGTTAATTTAATAAATTGTGTGATGGGTATTTAATTTTCCTTATATGTATTTATTGTACAACGCTGGGTTGGAAATTCTTTTTTTCCTAGTTATACAAAATCAAAAAATTAAAATAACATGTGATCAATAAATAATCGGAATTCAAAAATGTTTCGACCAGCGGTAGTAATTACAAAACAAAATCCACGCGGTTCAAACCTTTCTACGTCATTATCAAAACCATCGCCTTTTCAGAATTTTACATACACTACAGCATCCTCCAATACACCCGATGGCACTGGCTCTGGTCGAGGACGAAGCCGTGGCCGCGGGTCTAATTCAGGACTAATAACCATAGCCGGCAAGAATTTTGATATTTCGCCAACCCCAGCGTCATCACCACCTTCACAACCACCAGCACGAAAAAAAATAGAAATAGACAATGTTGGGGTTAATAATTTTGTTTCAACACAGCAATTTGAAGATGCAGAAGAACCTGTATCGTTATCTAAAGGTAGAATACAACAATCACAAAATCAGAAAATGAAACAAAATAATAAAACGTTAAACAGAGACGGCGAATACGCCAGCATGATAATTTCGTTGGTTAAAGATACAATTGTGAACTCGAAGAATACTGAAAACCTCCCAAAAACAAAAAGTATTCTGATGAAGTCGCCTGGGTCGCCTGATAAGAAGCAATCAAATGCAGAAGCATTGTCTATTATGTCTAAATTGATAAATAAGAAAAAGAACGAAGTAATAATGAATGGTAGCCAGTTGTCAATGGTTCCTCCAAAGGTTTCCGATAATAGCCAATTATCATCAATTGTTCTTCCAAAGGTTTCTGATAGTAGCCAATCATCGTCAATTGTTCCTCCAGAGGTTTCCGATAGCAGCCAATCATCGTCAATTGTTCCTCCAGAGGTTTCTGAGGTTTCACTAAAACAAGATCAAGACGTCACAGTCGATGAACTTTATCAACTTGCAGTTGCGCCAGAATTAGACGAAGACGATGAAGCGAAGAAAACATGGCAAGCAAAAATAACGGCTAAAAAAAAGAAAATATCTTCAGCTACTATTGTTCCACATACCAGACGTCAATTAATCTCCGATGAGATGAGATCAAAGGATCCAATTGTAAAATCAATGAAGCTAAAGGCAAAGTCTATTGATGGTGAATCCATGACTTCAGGAGATGATGGCAAGAAAGAAGAGTCAACGAATCAACAATCTAAAGATGATGATGTTAGTAGTAATGGTAAACTTGCTAAGGATAATTCACCTATCCTGTTGGACACTACTATACAGACTAAGATTTCATCAAAGGCTTGGAAATGGGATAAAAATAAAGCTGCAGAACTTTTCCCGGACTTTCTTGAACCAATTTCTGGTATAGTGGAATCTGGAGAAGCTCAAAAACGACAATTGACACGCAATCAACGTCTAAATCAAATGTCTGAACTAGATGTTGTAACTTTTGATCAACTAACATCAAATCAATATGATAGGACGAGGGGCACATATCCAAGAAGAGGAGGATATAGAGGCGGATATAATAACAGAGGAGGATATAATGATAGAGGAGGATATAATGGTAGAGAAGGATATAATAGTAGAGGAGGATATAATAATAATAGAGGAGGATATAATGATAGAGAAGGATATAATAGTAGAGGGGGATATAATAATAATAGAGGAAATCTAGTTGAAGGCAATCGTAACCAATTTCGTGGCGGAGGTATGAATCGTCAAACTCGAAGACCCACAAATTTCCAATTCAATGCACAAGCACCGGAAAATATGCAATTCACAAGTTCTGTGGACACAGAATTTAACTGGTCACATTTCAATTCAAAATATCCTCCTGTCCAAAATTATTTTTTGAAATCAGCGGCTAAACTATCGCCGATCGAACGTGCTGGATTAAAATTGGAAATAATTGGTGGTGACTATCATCGATATTTGAATCTATCACCGGCTACCGAAACTACATTAAAGGAAATAAAAAGTCCTGGTGGTGTGGGTGCTAATAAGCAGCAACAGCAGAAGGAATCGATTGCACAAACGGTGAAATCAATGAGTATTTTACTTGACGATAATACTTCATATTCGTATTCTATAGATAAGAAAACAATATTTCTAGGGACTTTTATGGAAGGAATGCAGGGTCGATTCAGGACCTTACTACCGCCTACTGCAGCAGCAGCAGAAAAAGTTGCTAGAAAATGATAATAGCAATCAATCATTATTATTTATTATCGATTAGCATAGATAGAGTAATGTTTTACGTATGCACACATTATAACCGCTCGATTTTGTTTCATCAAGCATTTCCAATGATGATATAACGGTCGAAACAGTTTCACAATCATCATCGTCGTTAATATTTGTTAAATACGTGTTTTGAAAAATTATTATTGCGGGTATTTTTGAAAAAATAGATAATAATAAAAATACGAATAATAATAATGCTATTTCTCTCGAACGTTCGTCGTACGTGTGTGTATGTGTGCGTGTAATGGAGGTCTGGACGCGAGACTGTATTTCTGCCGTTTTGTGACTAATAGTTGGCATTCTCGTCTCGGCCGTACGCACACATGGTTTACTTAAAATGTAATAGAAAGAATTAGTGAAAAATTTCAGATATATGCAAAAGAAACAAGGGAAAACATACTTTAGAACGAGCTCTCATTTTTCTTCTTTTTCGCTTAAGACGTCTAGTTCTCTTCTTTTTCCACTTTGCTCTCATTTTTCTTAAAAAAACATATATTCATTATTAAAAAACCAAGTATTTTAGGAATATTCAATATGCGTCACTCGTTTTTAAACATGAAAGCCGCATCTTTCTTGATGGATGGATAGAATTGTATATGTAATATCAATTATCTTAATATAAGCTTACCTAGCAAGAAATGAGAGATTCGAGTTTTTTTTGGATGTTTGGTAGAAAGATCAAGCAATCGTAAAAAATATTTTTTTGTGTAGCATTACTTCTTTTACTTTGTCACGGGATTTATAAATTATGATTGAATCAAATATTCATTCAATAATTATTACATAAATTGCCTAAATAAATTACAATCACGTTGAAGCAACACGCACAACTCTAACAAACGCGTCCATTTCCTCCATTGTAAGCCCCATACTCCCAATTAGATTTTTGAATTTTTGACCATTATTATTATTATCATTATCGTCACCATCATCGACTGATCTTGATGAGGATGACGAAGATACACGAGATTCCGGCGACGTGAAAATATTTTGATATAGTTGTGGAATTTCTAATGATAGACTTCATTATTTGTACAACATGCAGAGATAGATCGATAAGATCAATATTTAGTTCATATAGATCAAAAGAAAATTTTATATAGATACTCACGCATAAATAAAAACCAAGCAAAGAACATTATTTTCAATGTCATTAAGAAACACTGATGAATTGTCAATCGTGAAGGTACGTATGAGATCGAAAAGTTCATTTTCAATACTTGTGGTTATTGATAAGTGAGATCGTAGAAAATTGAAACTAGAAAGGTAATTCAAGACGCATTTAATGACATTATTATTATTATTATTATTATTATTATTATTATTTAGAAATCATATAATAAAATAAAAAAAAACCTTTCAATAATCTTTTCACTGAATATGTTATTTCGCATCACGACTTCACTCGAGGCAACAATTTTATTCGTCGTTTCTTTAATGTCTACGTTTACTAACGATGGATTTTTCATTTTATGCAAGTAAAGTCGTGTCTCTTGAGTGGTCATCCTATCCAATGTGGTCCATATTTTGCCAAACATTGACATCTTGGGAACAATCTTTTTCTGTTTCTTTCGCTTATTAGCGAGATTAAAAGGTTCTGTTTCATCTTGAGTGATTTGAGATATAGGTACAATTCGTAAGTCCAATATTGGACCTTTACTAATTGACTTATTATTATCGTCGTTATTGTTCATGTTTGTAGGCGAATTGAGATCCAATGGGGGAGCCGTTTGTTGTTTCTGCTGATGTTGATTTTCTTTTTGAACTTCTTTATCAGTTTTAACAATTTGATTTATATTTTGTGTTTTATCTCCTTTACTAGTTTCGATATTTCGATATTTTGATTTATCATCTTTATTAGTTTTAATATTTTGAATATTTTGATTTTGTGTTTTATTTTCTTTGCCCTTACTGATTCCTATATTTTGATTTTGTGTTTTAATCTCTACGGTCGTTTTTATTGATTTTCTATGATTATGATTATGATGATGATTATTATGATTAATATTAATATTCCTTTCAGATTCCTCGTCATAATGAAATTTCCCATTTCGAAACATTGCATTAGCTATTGACATTGCCAACTCGTATGCATCTTCATCAGTCTTCGGAACTTCTTTGGCAGCATCAGTAACAGTGACCACACTTTTTTCTTTAGGAAGCACCAAAGTAGTAGGTTTGACTGGCGTTGTTGCTGCTTTTGTTGCTTCTTCTTTATCCTGCTGATTTTTCTCTTTCGAGAATTCTATCCGGTATCCTTCAATCGAATCATGAATATATGTCATTTGATTTGTTGAAGAAGCCATACTATTATTTTTATCATCGTCGTTCTTTTCAGTGACCTTTTCTTGGATCACGAGTCCAGGAGGTGCAGGCGGAAGTTCTGCCAACAACGTCTTAATATAATCTTTTTGCTTACTAGCAAACGAGGATGCCTGTGCTTCCTGCTTTCTCTGTTTCATTATCTGTCTTCATTGCAAAAGTTCATAATTAGAGACTCTGCAATACTATTTTTTTTTTATTTAAATTACCATTATAATGTTGCTGAGAATTATCAAAATGTAAGCTACCATCCAATACAAATACTATTACATGCTTACCTAATATCAACATCTAGCGGCAAAACCTCGGGTAGCAGCCATGTTTGAAAATTTCTCATATACACAGGCTCAACGGATAATTGTGCGGCAAAGACCCGTGAACCCAGTAAGCATCTATCGGAACAGTAACATTTTAACTCCGAAACATCGTATATCTTTCGCGCACGGAGGGATATTCGATATTGTCCTTCAATTTCCTGGATTTTTTTGATTTTTAGTTTACTCAACGACAAAGGAACAAATCAAGCAATCGAAAATCCACATTTATTACTTGAGGAGATTTAGTACAAATGGGAAAACCACATAGGTTATACGCATTTCTTTCTTCGACCACTTCAAAATAATGTGAAGGTTGCATGTATTTAGCCTGATAATCAAGAATGTGTTAAAAAAGATTCACACAACCATAAACCGGTGAAAAAAGGGGGAAATGCTTTAGACAAACCGATTCCTGGAGTAATGGTATGTCTACCGGCTCAAAAAGTTTCTCTTGCCATGTTGTAGTGAGATTCTCAAATTCTTTACGAGATTCGAGACTCTTTTTTAACAATTCACGTTTTTGACTGGCTTGTTTTTTCTTTTTATTGGTTGTGTTTTTTGCCTTAGCTTTAACAGCTGTTTGTGCTTTTCGCCTTCCATTGTTATTAGAAGCATTCAAAATGGAAATGTATTTAGAACTATTCATAGTTACGAATAATGCATTAAAAGATTCAAAGAAAATAATGGAAAAGTGGTCATGTGCCGGTGGTTACAAATATAAATTAAATTAAGACATTAACAAACATCTACTTATCGTTATCTACTTATTCCCCTATTTATCTCAATTTTTTTTTGAACGAAAATTTTGAGAACCCCATTAACACAACTACAATGTCAACACCAAGCAAACGTAGGCATTAGTTAGATTTGATGGCTTTCTCGTTATTTAGCTTGCATAATGTGAACAAAAGTTGAAAATTTTAATTGGATATTTTTAAAATTGTAAAGTCTATATAGGGCATTTAGCACAAAGGACGGAAAAAAGAGATTTGGAAGAGCTGGTTTGTAATTTTGTCGCATATAATTCCGTGTAATTTAAAAAATTTGAATTATTTATTTATTTTTTGATAAAAGTTTGAAAGATATGGCAAGGTTCTAAGTGTTGATGTCAAACCAATGGGATATGCTTTTGTGGAATTTGAGGTAAAACATACGTGTTTATCGTACTTGCAAAAAAGGTTGTTAGGATACCTTTGTGGTTCTAATACTTGTGAAATATTTTAATAGGATCCTAGAGACGCTGATGACGCAGTAAAACAATTAAATGGCTATGAACTTGATGGCGCTCGAATTGCAGTAGAGTGGTCACGCAGATCCGGAGGTCCTGGTAGTGGATGTTTCTTATGTGGTGGTCAAGGTCACTGGGCTAGAGAATGTCCAGATGCACGAGAAAAAGGAATGGATGTAAGAAGTGGGCGATGCTTTAGATGTGGTGAGATTGGTCATTTAGCGAAATACTGCAGGTAATAATTAGATATGTATATATGCACGAGAAAATACCTCAATTGCTTAAATGATTTCTCTCCTGTTTATTTAGAGGTGACGGTGATTGTGACCGTCGTGCGCCTTCTGGAAGTCGTTATAGTCGAGGTCGTTCGCCGCATCATCGTAGTGGATATTATGACGATTATAATGATCGCGATCGATATAGTCGACGGTATTCACGATCACCGCCCGCAGGATATAGTGGTGGCTCGTATGGAGCATCTGGCAGTAGAAATCGATCCAGGAGTCCATATTACAATAGCAAACGGAGTCCAAGTCCTTATGCGTATGAAAGTTATTCAAGCAAGAGAAGTCCGAGTCCGTATGGGTATGTTTAGTAAAAGACTCGGAATAGTTGAGCTGCTGTTGTATTTGTTGTTTCTTTTTCGTTGTGTGCACTCTCCTCCTGTCCTTTCTTTTAGTCTATTATTATTATTATTATTATTATTATTATTATTATTATTATTTATTACACTGCTGGACAAACTGGTACTGGATGTTACACGGGATAGGATAGGTGAATAGAGAATAGTGGCTCAGTTTCTGGCTCGAGAGGCAACTCAGGCGCGGGATTCTTTATGGGAAACTGTGCTGATGCTGCTTGATGCTGTTATTTGTTGACAGCGTGCATGGCTATTTTTTTTATAACAGTTTGTTGCTCACCAATTCTTTTTTGCTCTTTTGTGTCTTTTCTCCTGACACTGGATCCACACACTTTTTGCCCGGATCGATTTAATCATAGGCGTGCAAGAAGGTATTGATGCTGCTGCTGGAGTCTCATTGCCGGATCTCGGACTGACTGGACTGACTGGCTACATACACACAAAATAATACAGAATAACGGGTGTTGTTTTTCCTTATATGGATGATGGGCTTTTTTTTACGGGATGGAGTCGTGCAAAAAAATATATATATATATATGTACTTAATATACAAAAGCGTTTGGATGTATAGTATTGTTATATCGATAATAATAACAATAATGGCTGGAAGGATATTTGGTTAATCAATTAAAAAATTGCGGGATTTTTTCTCTCTTCTGTTTATTAGTAATTATCTTTCTCTTATGTTAGGCTGGAGTGTTTTGTATTCAATGGACTGGATTTATTATTTTTATTTGTTTGATCTAACTGGGAGTGATTTCGCAATAAAAAGTACAAGTATATATGTATGATTTAATTAAGCCGCCAATGCTGTAAAAGATTATCAATAAACCGTCATGGAGGACACAGGAAAGTACTTGCTTATATTTTTTTAAAAGAATCCTATTGTCTGTGAAGTCCTATCTATCACTTCTTATTTCGAGTGAAATTAACAGACAATTACTGGAAGTTACAATATAAAATTAAGAGATCAACGACTTGAAATACACACTTCTTGACTCGAACCAGTATGACGGTTGATAAGCGCATAGACTTTTGCAAAAAAGATGGCGGGATTAGAAATAGGAACTGTGCTAATACTTACCAACCTATAATCGATTTAAACCAGAAGAACGTAGTTCTAGTTATCCAGGCAAATGTGCAGAGGTCCTTTAGCTCTTAGTGTATATGAAGTCCCTACTCCAACGTCAGCGCCTAGTGTACTCCTTGCTTAAGTACTAATGATATGGTTTTATCTACGAAAGAGACGATTGAAACAACAGCCGGAAGACGATCTTCCTGATGAGGGTAGTAGCGTCATTCTTTCTGATGATGATGATGAGATAATAGGTTCGAAAAACATGAAGCGAGATTCCAACTCCAACACAACCATTCGAAATCTCCCTTGCCATAATTAATTAAAATACAATTTATTATATATAGGGGAGTGACAAATATCCATTTTATTATTGGGACCCTCCCCTGAGATTTTATTTAACACATGCACGTGAGATTATATTAATACCTGAGATTTGGCCATTCCCCCTAGAACATTGGCTAATATTTGTCACACCTCTTATTTAGTTAACACAGTTCTTTTATCAAGTACATCCGGATGTATGGCTCAGTGGCAGGCTTAAATACATCATAATACCCCGATCTCCCTTATACAATATAATTTTATACTCCATCCAGCTCACCCGTTCCAAGCCACAATTACCCGAAACATTTCGTACTATTAAAGGTTAGGGTTAGAGTTGGAGTTGGAATAAGATTATACATAAATTGTCTCCCCGTCACTTTTTATTAGTGCTAAAAATTAGGTTTAAGCATCTATTTGGATTTGTTTTGCCGGGTTGATAAAAAATTTGCGCATTCTCATTGGTTTCGAGATCGTCAGGGATCGGAAAAATCACGTGAAGGAAAAATCGATCGTGGGTGAGCTGGAGTAGTTATTTTATATACAGGGTAAACCTTTTTATTGACCCAACATAAAACTTTAAAATTTGAGCCGCTAATAGTATACCATATTTAAAACCAATCTAATACAAAATAAGAAGGCATGATTAATAATATCGGTACAAGATTATCACTTTTGTTCACGGTACTAAAAATCGGAAATTTGAAGCAGAGGGATTGTGACGAATTTAGAAATTTTTTTATTTCTGACTTTTCTAGACTTTTTCTAACTTGTTCTTTTTTTGTGTGCTAGGCTAAGCTCTCGCACGGCTTTTTTTATAAAAAGATACTAAAATTAATTTTTTTTAATATATTATAGTTCGGCATTCTTTCTTCTTAACTCCAGTTGGTTCTATTACTAATATCCTGATCTCCATTATATTAAATTTTGGCATACGGTGATTTCAAGGATGATATCTCGATACCCTGATATTGAAATAATATGAAAATACCACCATTTGATTCGCCTAGACATGACGAATCGAGTGGTGGTATTTTCACGTGATTTAGATCGCAGGGTATCGAGATATTGCCCTTTAAATTGGCGAAATTCTGACATATAATGACTTTCAGTGCGATATCTCGATAACTAGCGACCGAAATCACATGAAAATATCACCATTCGATTCGCCATGTCTAGGCGAATCGAATGGTGGTATTTTCATGTGATTTCGGTCGCTAATTATCGAGATATCGTTACTTTGTCATAATATCTTTTTCATCAAAATATCTTATAAATATTCTAGTCATAACAAAAAAGTGTCAGGTCATGTGATCTGAAATAGGTTCATTAAAATATTCGATTAATATTAAATATAGTCAAATCTCTCTATAGTCATGCCCATTTATAGTCACACCCCTCTATAGTCACCCTATTTTGCTTTCCCATTTACATATAAACATAGTAAAAAAAATCTCTTTATAATCACATTTTCTTTATAATCATCAAATTTTGCTTTTCCGAGAATGATGACTATAGAGAAGTTTGACTGTATTAAGTATCAGGATTAGGATTAGAACTAAAATAAAAATTATATATAAAATTGTCTTTCTGATATTTTTTAAAACTAAATTTAGATACAATCAAATTTCTTTATAGTTACATTTATTTATAGTCACATTTTTTTATATATAATTACTCTATTTTACTTATTTACATATTGTTATTATTTTAGTAAGCTTTTATAATCTTTTAAATATGGATTACATGTTTTTTATGTGTTTTTGATCAGATAAAAGAATTATTATATTTTAATTAAAGATTTTATATGTTTTAATATTTTTAAAAATGAGAAAAATTAATTTATTAAAGATTTTATAACTAATTATCTAAAAATAAGTAATGAAACGTTCATGTTGTTGAGCAGCTAAAATGAGCACAGAAATCTTCTTTTAATTCAAATAGTTTATTATTAAGTAATTTTTTTATTAATTAATTTTTAAAATAATTAACTTATCTTTCTAAATACAGTCAAATTTCTCTATAGTCACACCCATTTATGATTACATCCATCTATAATTACCTTATTTTGCTTTTTTATTTATATATAAATATAGTAAAAAAATCACTTTATAATTACATTATCTCTATAATCATCAAATTTTGCTTTTTCAAGAGTGGTAACTATAGAAAGATTTGATTATATTAATAATTAATTTCATAGAGTAATGACAAGAAATTAATTATATCAAATAGAAAATGTTACTTATTACAGATGAAAGATCTTTTAACAAAAGAATACAAATAAGAAAATAAAAGGATAATTAATTATTAGATAACTAATTAACTTGTTAACTTAATTGTTTATATTTTAACTAAAATACATATTATATTTATACAAGTTATTTATTACTTAATTATCAAAATCTAAAATTAAAATTATTATTACATGAAAAATATTTGTTCATTCACTTCATTTGCTCACTTGATTATTATACATTGCTTGCTTAATTATTATACATTGCTCATTTTGATATTACATATAATTTATAATTAATATTAATTAAATTAGATAATATTAATTAATTAATATATATTTTTTATATTAATAATAATATGAAAATAACATAAATTAAAATAAGATAATACAAATAAATAATATAAAATAAATTAAGAATAATATAAATAAATTAAGAATAATATGAATAAAATATAAATAATATAAAATAAAAAGAGTTATAATTTACAAATTATATATAAATTAACTATCCAATTAAATAAATTATATAATATATTAAAATTCATATTATAACAGATCTCTCAAAATTAAAAATTTTACTTTATAAAAATAAAAGAATAAATATAAAATATAAAATATAAAAGAGTAAAATATAAAAATATAAAAATATAAATTATAAAATATATTTTTGTACTTATTTGAAAGTTTTATTTGTAATAAATTTTTTTATTAGAAAATTTTGTTGATAGTTTACTTGTTATCCCTCTTTAATATTGATTTTTTACTAAAAAATTGTGATAATATCTTTTTTTAATTGTTTATTAGACTTTTAACTGATTTTTTTAACTATTTCTAGAGTTCATTCAATAAGATTGTAATATATTTTTATAATCTTCAAAATATTAATAAAGTCATAAGATTAGTATATGTTTAAAAGTAATATTAATTATGCTTATTGTTACTTAAATTCAGAATATTATTTTCTGAATAATTTATAATTGTCAGTAAGATTAAATAATATTTTTTCAATTTTGTAATAGTGTTACAATTATTTTCAATAATTCCGTAATTAACGAATCTTTTAAAAATAATAGAAAATATAAAAATCTTCAAAAATAGTAATAAAAACAACAAATCGATAAA